AGGATTTCTGCTTTAATAAATGTAGTTGAATCTATATTTAAAATTTTTGCAAGAATACTATCAAATATTGAGTATTCTATTGATTCTGATGTCTGATTGAATTTGTCTTGTGTGGTGAAAGTATTAAAGATGATTTGAGTAGCTCATGTTTTTTTTCTCTGATTATGTTTCATCTATTCTGACTATTGTATCGAGGATGTGTAGCTCTCTCTTCTTAGCAATTTGTATGATTTTCTATTTCTTTGTCATATTGATTATGTATAAAGGAGGATAAAATACTGATTCATTGTTTTATTTATCCTTAATTTGTTTATATGTTTATATTTAGTAAGGTACATATGATTGATTATTTGTTATCTTGTTTAGTGTCTTGGTTATTCAGATGAGTTGTTGATTCTTTCTATTTAGTTCTGTTTATTTATCAGATTTGTTGTTGATCTTCTTTGTTATGAAAAATAAGTTATTTATACATAGACACTTGATAAACCTTACTATATTGTTTTAATACTGGATTATTTAACATGTATACATTTGTGTAACTTGTTTTAATATTTAGACAGGTGTATATAGAATCAAAATACTTTACTATTTAGTTCTTGGGAGCCTTTGATGTCCTTCTGGACTTTGTAAACTTTGAGTTTTTTCTGATTTATTGGTAAGAACCATTGTTTGTAAAGTTTCTTCTAGTGCCTAGAAAGGTGTAAACTGACACTGGTTTGGCTAGAAGCTTGGAAAGTTGATATTGGGCTCTCCTAAGCTTACTGTGAATCAGCTTGTAGATGTGTTTTCCTTTTCTTGTAAAGTAAAGCTAGTGTAATACTGTATTGCCAAAACTTCTTTTAATTAATAAAGTAATCTCTTGAGGGAATAGTTGAATATTCTAGTTTGTTATTAAGTCTTGTATTTTTGAGAAATAAGGAGTTTTTTAGGCTGGCTTCTCTTTTTCAAGAAAATTATCAAAAAAAGAAAAATTTAAAGAAAAAGAGGATTAGTGGAAAGAGTTTTTAAAAACAATATTATAAATATAAATGATTTTTTTTACAAGTTTTATAAATTTTTGAATAAATAATTGCTGAATTTTTAATGAATGGTCAATAAACTTTTAATGAATAATTTAATAAATAGTTGCTGAATGTTTAATGAATTGTTAATGAATTTTTAATGAATAGTTTTAATAAATAGTTGCTGAATTTTTTAATGAATAGTTAATGAATTTTTGATAAATTTTTTGCAAATTATTAATAAATTTTTATTAAATTGTTAATAAATAATTTTGTAATGAATTTTTAATGAATTATTGCCAGATTGTTAATGAATTATTTGATAAATTGTTAATATGCTATTTTTTTGATTGCTAAATTTTTGATTGCTGAATTTTTGATTGTTGAATTTTTGATTATCAAATTTTTGATTGCTGAATTTTTGATTGCCACTTTATTTCCAAAATAGTAATATGCCAAGTGGCAGTAATCAAAAAGAATTTAGTAATATTTTTATTATTAAATTTAATTAAATTCAGCAATAATTCATCTGCCGAATAACATAATTTTGACTAGTATATCTTAATACAAAAAAGTTACTAGAAGAATATAAAAACTAAAGATTTCAAATCTCAAAATAGCACTTGAAAAAATGATCAGAAAAGTGATTTATAATAATCAAAACTTTTTTAAAATTTCTTTTTAAAATAACAAAGTAAATTTTGTAAATATTGAAACCTGGGAAGAAATTATTATTAAAGAAAACATTATAAAAAAAGTATATCAAGATTAGCTAATAAAAATATTTCAATATAATTTTGAATTCAAAAATATACTAATCTTCTATTTTAATGAATTACTTATTAATTATAAAAACAAAAAATAAAAATAGAAGTTATTTTTAGATAAAAAAAGTAAAAAGAGAAAACAAGTTTCAAATATAAATAAACAATTGATTTTCTTTTATAAGAGCTATACTAATAGCAACTCTAATTATATTTCTGATAGTTCTTATCTATAGTGTTATTGAAATTTGTTTAGATAATCAAGTCTATATTTCTAAATGGAAGATAATAAAAAAAAAAAGATAATTAAAAAAAATTAATTTCTTTGAGCATAAATAATAAAATCAATAAAGAAAAAAAATATACATTTGAAACTCACCAAAGTTAAGATATATATTAATAATCTTTATAATAAAGAAGTAGATGCCTTAAATCTATTAGTGATAGAATTGAAAAATCTCAGCTTATATAAAATTATCATAAAAATTAAATAGTAAAATAAAATTTTAGATAATTTAATTAGATAGTTTATTAAAAATATAAATAATAAAACAGACCTATGGATCAATAGTACAGTGGTAATATTTCCAGGTCATAATCACAAGATCTGCAGTTCAATACCACTTAAGAATCAAAATTAAAAATTATCTTTCTAATCAGGTTTACCAGGTATCTTATAAAAGTCATATCTAATCATCTAGAATAAGTTCTAATCAGGTTAGACAGTATAAAGATGGAACTTTTGGTCTTCTATCGATCAGAGGCTGATATCTATGGTCATACTACTGGAAAGATTGTAAGAAAAAAGGCTTCTGATCTAGCTCACTATAAATATTCCAAAGACCTCCCACCTTAGCAGTTTTCAGGACCTTCACATTTCTAGCTCAGGATATTTCAATATAATGCTCTGCTTAAATGAAAATCAATCAAATGGGATTAATTTGATGCCACAGATAATGACAAAGAAAATAAAGTGCCTCTTTTTGAGATTGAGTAAATAATATTTGAGAGTATTGAAAGTTAAACTAAATCCCATCGAGTATATACTATACAATCTAGTTTAGTGAATATAATATAAAAATTTATAAAAGCTCACTACTAAATTATCTTGTTTTACCATTGATGACTTTGTATTTGACTGTCCAGTCTCTAGCTGGGTTTGTCCTATTCATAAAGTAGTAGCAGATTTATCTAGAGAAAACTATAATAGATTATCATTAATCTATATATATATAGAAATATATTGTTTAAATGAAATGATTGATATTATGCCAAAAGGATTTCATTATCCAAGATATTAAATTAATTCTTAATAAAAATACTCACATCTAATATCAGTTATGGTTTAAAAAAAAAATAAAACAATATTTTATTAGTAAACACAGTAAAACAGAATAGAAAAAAAGTGAAACTATTAGATTTTAAAGTAACAAGTTTATATATAAGATCTAATATAGAAAAGAATAAAAGATGAATATATATAAAATATATTCTTTAAAAAATCTCAATAAAAAAGCTTTCCTATTAAACTAATCAATAATAAGCTATTAATATTAAGTAAATTAATTATAAAAAAACTTGATTTATATATGTAAAAAATATATTGTATTTAGTTAATAAAATAAAACAATAAAATACTTATTAAAATATTTAATTTATAAGGATCAATTACAAATAATATAAAATGAAAAAAATAGATAAAGTACTTGAGAACTTTAAAAAGCTTTTACAAAAAAGAAAAAATGAGGTTAAAAAAAAAAAACTATTATATTAATCATAAATAATCAAAAATAATTAAGAGAGCTTGACAAGTGGATCTTTAAGCTAATAAACAGATTTCTAAAACTAGTCAAGATATTCTAAGTTTTTGCATTGATTTTATAAGAAATAATTTTATTTAAAAAATAATAAATATAAAATATTATAGAAAATGTATAGGAAAAATAGCAAGAAAATAAATAACAAAGATATTAAAAAAAGTTTACAATCAAGGCAGGAAAATAATCTGAAACATAAATTGTAAAAAAATAATTGGGTGAAAACAAATACAAGAAATTTACAAAAAAAAAACAAGATAGAAAAATCTTTATATCTCCTAGATCAAAATACCATATTTATATTAAGAAGAGAATTACTACTAAAAAAAGAAAAAAAAATCTTGAAAATAAAAGTTTTAAGGATATCTTAACAAAATGAGTGAAATATAGAATAAAGTGATTAGATTTTGAGCCTAGTCAGAATTTCAAAGAATAATCTGCAGTAGTAACCTATAGATAATTAAGTTAACAATTAAAAGAATCTCTATTTGAACTACTTATAGAATAATAAATTACTTTCAAAGTTGTGTTTAGAATTTTGATAAATTTCAAAATAGAAATAAGTGAATTAAGTAAAGATTTAACATTAGCAATATATTTTATAATATAAAGTATATAAATGTTTAATAAAATATACGTATATTCTTAATCTGGCAAAGAGTTTTAAAAAAAAATAAAAAATAAAAAATAAAAAATAAAATTAATTATAAAATAATTTTTAAAATTATGTATAATATAATTTTATATTATAAATTAAATAACTTTTTATTATAATACTGAAATTGTTTTCCTAGCATATCAGAAGACTAGTTAAATGGTTTTAAATTAAAACATTTAACCTTGCATGCAATGATAGAAAGGAATTACGTAATAACATGAATTTGAGTAACCATATAAGTATTTCTAACATTAGATGAAATCCATTTATAATACATGATGTACAGTTTTTTTCAAAGATATAAATCAGTGATAGTAGGATCACTTCTGGGAGTCGGGATTTCTTTATACGCATGGGCTCCGATGTTTGGAAAACCTAGGTGGTATTACAAAGTAGCTTAGCTTATAAAAAAAATTTTTTTAAATTAAATTATACATTTTCATAGGCATGGTCCGACCGAATCAACGCAAAATGTTCAACAAAACAACGAGAATGAAATCAATAAAAAGGATGAGCTCATTTCTACACAAAACCAATAGTATATAAAGGGAAGTTGTGGATTTTGAAGACAATAGTCATCTACAAAGAAACCTGGTTTGTATGAATTGACAAATATCCTCTTTTAATCCTGAATTATCAACGTCATTAATATTTTCATATTAATTCTGGTTAGAAATGTCTGTTACAATGGACCAAAAGTTATTGAATGTATTGATAATTTTGTATATTTTAAAAAGGACAAGATCCTTCTCATTGAATATCAATCAATAATACTCGTATACTAGATGAATAAAAAATGGAATTAACAACAAATTAATGTTAAATATAAAAACACCAGTCTAAGTACCTCAACATCATGCATCGGATCATCCGACTCCGCGCGGTATTGAGCGACCTTTCGCTCAATCCTCTTGTTAGGTTGAAGGTCGTGTTCCATAATTTGCTTATCACAGCCTTATTAAAAAAAAAAAATGTACGTAAAGATGAAAAGGTTACAACCATGAAAAAATGAATAACTAATTACCAGTCATTGGGCACGGAACAACGTTTGTGTTACGCCTTATTAATTGCAATATCGCATCTTTGGAGAATGTGTGTTTACACACTTTGCTGTGACAAAAGATTAACAAATTGGCAAAAGTGAAACCGAAGAACGATATGGAAATAATTGAAAAAAAAAACCTGTCCATACCTTGTGACCGGTTCTTCAAGTAACAATGTTGTGATTGGACAATATAATGACTCTTTTTGTTTTCCCATCACGATCTCATCATCTTCGTTTCCATTCAGAGGAGGCATTGCTTCGTCCGGGTGATTGACTTCCTGTTAATGTAAAGTACGTTATTAAGTAGTGTTTAAATCTCAAAATAAAAAATTTTATTTACCCAAATCTTTTGTCTGAAATCTTTGTAACTATTATTTTCAAAATATTTTTCATCTTCTGTTGCGCTTTCATATTCTTCAAGAGCGGAATCATATAAGGATTTAAAGGTTTCCACAAGATCCTGTTATAATATGAATGAATTAACAACTAATGAGACTAATTGAATTAATATGAAATTATTTGCATACAACTTCTTGTCCAGCTTCCACTTTCGTTTTAATTTTCTCGAGCGCTTCTTTTTGAAAATTTAAAGACCGTTCTATATCAACGCATTCTCTTACCACTTTATCCAAACGTATAACCTAAATGTTTAATTGATTAAATGAATTAATTTTGTAAATAATTAGAAGGAGATTAAATCACCTCTTCTTGTTCCTCGGCCTGTTCTAAGTCTACTGCGGATTCTGTTGCGAAAATAATACCTTTTTCGGCGTATGGTATTATCTCTGCAAGTTCTCGGAGTAAAACATCAAACTCCTTTCTCTCCTTATGTGGAGCAGAAGTCCTGCCCAGCGGGCCTCGAGTACTACGACTAGACGACATTTAAATAACTAAGCGACGCGTTTGGTACAAAGCAAATTAGAATATAATGAGTGGATCATATCATGACGTAACACCACATATTTGTCACCTTATGCTTATCCAGCATATCTAGCATATTATACACACCCCTATAATAAATTACGGTATAATCAGAAAATTATAGTTAAGTTTATTAATCTAAAAAAAATATAATATTAAAAATTAATATTTTGTAGGTCCACCTCTAGCTTTAATAACCATTTTAACATGTTTAGGTAAGCTTAAAATTAAATGATGTAAAGTTTCTATATATATATTCATCCATTTTTCTTGTGAAACATGAATTAATTCTTCTTTTGATTGTGGCACAGGTTTTCTTTTTCATATTTGATGGTCCAAATAATCTCACAAATGTTCAATGGGATTTAAATCAAGACTTTGTGAGACCTAATCCAAAAGTGAAATGTTGTGTGTTGTTATTTACCAATTTGTATATGTTGATGTATAACATGGAATCAAATCTTGTTGGAATATTACATTAGGATTCGGGTAATTGTTAATCCATGGTATTAAACTTCTTGTGAGAATATTAACATATATATCAGAGTTTACATTTTCATTTACTGTAATTAATGGTCCAATATCATACCAACTAAAACATCCTCAAAACATAACAAATCTTCCACAAAACTTAATAGTAGGTGTAATATAATCAATATTAAAAGCTTCTCCTACTTTTCGTTATACTTTATTTCATCCATCAGACTTGAATAGAACAAATCTTAATTCATCAGATCATATGATTCTTTTCCATTCTTCATCCCAGTTACACTTGATTTGACACCATTTTAATCGAGATACACAATGTTTGTAAGTTAAATATGATTTTTACAGGCAGTATAAACTTTTAATCCAAGATTATGAAGATATGTACAAATAGTATTATAGTGATAGGCTTTAACTAATAATGTATAACAACGAGTTAGTCGCTATATGAAATTCTGTAAATTATTTAGGTATTTCTCAATATCTTAATAAAGACATGCCATTGCGGCATGATTGCGAGCTAAAAAAAAAAGTATTATAGTGATAGGTAGTATTAAGACTTGTGTTTAATTGATCAATAATTTTTTTAAGAAGTAAAAATCTATTTTTCAAAACTATATTTTTTAGATAACATTGTTAACGAATTGAAATAGTTTTTAAATGACCAAATCATTTTTTAGGATGTGGAGAACCTGTTTTTTTGTAATGGTTTATAGTGTTATATACTGTTATATGAGAAAGTTTCAGCACAGTTAATATTTTGTAAGCATTTAAACCAACAAGAAAGGCACCAATTATTTGTTCCCTATTTTCATAGGTCAATTCATTTCCATACATGTTTGATATAAAAAAAAATTATGAAAAAATACTGATTTTTATATATAAAATTGTCAATTGTGTTCATATTCAAATAAGGAATCAAAAAATTTTTTTAAAACTTGACTTTTTTGTCCTGCCAATCAATGTTCTATAATTTATTGTAGGGGTGTGTATAATTTGTGTGCACAGTTAGCATAGTTTTTTTTAAACTAGAAAAATTTTTACATAGAAGGCAAAAAACTATTTTATTTTTTGCAACTATATAATAAATCATAAAAAAAAGTTTTTTTATTTTCATTGATTATTTTTTTAATTATATCATATTGTATATTAATATTTACATACAAAGAGCATTATGAATGAACTCTTTCCGCTAATCCTTTGACCACACACAAAAAAGATGTTCGCAAGAAGTTTTAATACTTCTATACTAATAAAGTCTTACTACTTTCCTTAAACCATTTCAATGAGTTTCTTCAGAACTCCCTCATCTCCTCTCCCTCTTGTCTACAATCTTCTTTGAACAAACTGAACTCATGTGGCCTGCAAAGTTCAACTTCTACCTTTACTACCTATAGCAAGAAAGTTTCTAAAGAAAAAAGAACCAATAGTAAAGTACCTTCCTCCTCTTAGTTATGATGAAGATAATAGAGGTTAGAAACCAGTCAAAGGACTTATTTTCCCACCCTTTGAATGGTGTTGTGGTCTCTCAGAACTATCTTTTTCACAGCTCTCTAGGAATTTTGCCTACTTTAGCTTGACCCTGAAATTTCGGATAGCACAAATCTCACCAACTCTGATTGGTCGACGTGAAAAACGTTGGACAAGATTGATAAACAAGCTCCTAGTGGCCATCTCACGTGTCTGAATGCATTTCCTCAGCTCCATAAGAACCTAGGGTCTATCATAAGTCATTTTGTCTGGCGCAGGTGGATACAGGACATATCACTGACACATCATTGGATACAGGAAAGAGTCCATCCAACCATGGTAAAGGTCATAAGATGCTAGATCACTTCCTTTTAAAGATTCAAGCCACCTATTCCTGATTGTATGTCAGGTAGGTTCCAACCTCTACTGCCTGGAAAGTCTAAATCAGAGAAAGCAAGAAACCACTTAGGACACTCAGTGATAAAGCTCATGTGCAAAGTAACCCAGGAAGTTTTTATTCTATCTTCAAAAAATCCTGAGCTGGAAGACTGGAAAATTAACACCGTTATACTAATCAAAACTCAAGTTCAAAAATGTCAACAGTGATATGTGAGCCAGCCAAAATATCTGGAAGATCCTTGTTGATCGTTAGTACCAATGGCTACTAGCAGGGTATGCCGACCACAAGGCTAGGTGCTATCCTTCATATAAGAAATTAAATCTGAAATAAGATGCACAGATGGGTAAGTATACCCATATTT